AATGTTTCCGCCATCCATAAAATATACCATAACGATTTTGTACATGATAAAATGTTACCGATGTCGTTACTAACTAAAATCTCATTATTTCACCATTATTTAAATGCAGTGACGCCATCTTAGCTGGATATAACATTCCTATGTAGTTTAGAACGCAATATATCATAATTTAAATTGAGAAATCGAATTCTGGTTTGTTAGTTGAATGCCTGTTTAGAGTGTGGTCTGGAATCTAATATAGAAGGCCGAAATAAAACAAGATTGTTAACTCTTACATCCGGTTTCTGAAAGGCTTATCAACGCTAAAATCAACTAATCTCCTGAGAATAAATTGATTTTAACATTGATCGGCGTTTCGGAAACCGGGGGTTAGTGTTTAATAGTCCTGTCTGCGGTTCATAGCAAGTTCTGCAAAAACTACATGACTATGGTGATACCACGGCCTTAAAAAAAACTTGTGCAAAACAACGTTTGTGTTGAGTTTACAGTGAGTGAGGCTACTAGAGATCCAAACCTTTCCATTTCCAATCCCCAAATTCGTAAGTCTCTTGCCCCAGAAGGTCAACAATACACTTATTCCTTTTATGGTGTTGGGGATGTCATTTGGTGTCGCTGATTTTTTGCCATTTTTTGTTTCGTCTGATCGTTTTCAGTCCAAAGTTAGTGTCATCACGATCTGAAGAGCTAATTCGTACTTTTTTCCTACTTAAAGAAACAATGGTCTACACAAGGTTTTTATCCTGTGTCTGTTTCATTTCACATACACATAACACCTAGACGACCAAAACAAGAATTTGTTGAAGACAACGAGCTGTTCCGAGCGTGAATCAAATTTGCGACACGTTATCCGGATGTCCAGCCACCGCGTGTACTAAGAACTCACAGCATAGTTTACATGAATGTAAACTACTCAACGTACCCGTCTAGAGAATAAAACATATGACAATCTGTTTATATTTATTTATATTTATCGCCATCATAACGGTATAAAAACATTCCCAGTTTAGGATATCGTATATCATAATTTAGAACTGAAATAAAACTATGAAAACCAGATCCGGTTACTGTCGTAAACTCTTTGCTGTCCACTATTACAATAATAATAATTATAACAAATAATTTGGTTTCTTTACAAGAGTATAAATAAAAGGATTCTTTTAAATTTGTTTTGTTAAGGGTTCTGTAGTTGATTTATTTTATTTGAATCATCATTTCGATATTTATTTAAGTCTAATTTTAGTCTGAAAAATAGCGGTTATAAATGTCGATGTTTTGAAAGATTATGCATTAAATATAATTCAAAATAACAAAATTACTTATCTGAATTAATTGAGAAAAGATGTACTACGTCTATCTAAGTCACAGCATACTCTTATTCAAGAGCAAGTCACATGCGCGTAGTCGCGACGTTGAGTAGCCATCGTTTACTGTCTGACTGAAACCAAAAAGGCCGAAAAGGTGCCGCATAAAATTTTAAAGCGCCTATAAACGAATGTGCCAGTTATTTATTAGTATTATAATACGTTTAGACATTAACTGTGTTATTAAGCTATTTTTAACTAACCACAGAACCAATTTATTTTGAGCTTCCGACATCGCAATTCTACATAACTAGCAAGTTCTTCTTAAACTGGTCATCCAATCTTACTAATGTCTTTCAGACTGCACATTGTCTTGGTGGTGGCAGATCAAGTTATGTTGGTCCTTTACAAATTGGTTCCAAGTAATGTTTAGTTTCAACTCATTAACGACTTCTTAATGATTGATGAATGTGAAGAAGGGTTGAATGGGGTGTCCTGATTCTTATTTTAGATTTTAGTTTTGCTCCTTTTAAAGTTTACTTGCAATTTGTACGTTTAATATTTGTAACGGTGTCTTTTTTCTGCAGCTGTGGGTAGATCACATATTTAAGAAACTATACCTACTCCAATTAGTAACTCACTGCCCGACCAGAAACTGATCTCAAAGAGCCAATAGGCCTACATAGATGGGGCCCAACAGGGCTAATGTTCAGTCAGGGTTACAGGCTAGTGCATTAAGGTACAAGAGAATCAGATTTTGCTAATTAGACTCACTTCCTTCTTCTAAGGACATGGTGGTGACCAGCCCAAGCAGGGCGCACCGTGTCACCCGAGTGATCGTTATAATGAAGGATTGGGGTGTGCCAACCTTAAATTACATCTAAATATTAGATTTTGTCTTTCTTACAGGATTATATACTTTTGTTGACAATATGATACTAATAGATTGAAATATCACGTGACATAACGACTCATTATGTACACTATGTGTACTTTTTAATAAGCGGGGAAATTGAAATGAGCATTGACAAAGCGCTTCGCTTTTAAATTTAACCTCTTTTTATTATCTAAGTATTGTATTTGTATATGAAAAAAGAAAACGTATTTAATATTGTTTCGTTACCTAACTGAAGAACTAATTCTATTTTTGATTTTAAAACCCTGTCATTATTGATACATTATATCATTATGTGCACAAATTTTTATCGTTTATATTAGACACTACTCTCGCGCGGTTTCACCCGCTGCTCGGCTCCATTTAGTCGTAGCGTGATGTGTTATAGCCTATAGCACTCAATAACACTGTAGCTATCTATCAGTGAAATAATTTTGGAAATCCGATCAGCCGTTCCAAAGATTACCCCCTACATACAAACTTACAAATTTTACCTCTTTGTAATATTAGTATAGACCAGGTACTCTCGCATGGCTGAACTCGCTGCTTGGTTCCATTTCCTCCATTGCCTCCTTCGGTCGCGGTGGGCTGGAGGTTAAGGCATCTCTTCTCATGCATGAGGGTGCGGGTTCAAAACCTGGCGAGTACCAATGTGCCTTTTTCCGAGTTATATGTACTTTCTATGATTATTCAGACACCACTAACACACGGTGAAGGAAAACATCGCGAACCTGGACTTATAATTTCCAATTATAAGTTTGAAATCGCCAATCCGCCAAGCGTGGTGATTAATGCTCAAACCTTGGATCGTAGCGTGATGTTTTATTAGCCATTCAGGAACATTCTAGCCATCTATAAGTGAAAGACTTTTTGCAATCCGATTTGCAGCGGTTCCAAAGATTACCCCCTACGTACAAACTTACAAATTTTACCGCTTTATAATATTAGTAAGTTACTATAGATTGAGGAGCAGGGCTTCCAAATACAGGTTAATCTTTTACTTAAAAGTTGGTCTCTACCTAAGATTTACTTTTATAAATATTGTACATGCTTCTGAAATAAACTTGTTTTTATATAATATAATTATTATTATCTAACTTTTTTTGCCTCATAGCGAGTAAAGACACATTCAGAACCAGTATTTGATATATTAGCCATTCATATAAGTGTATACTACGTTGCCTATCTCAGAAAGAGTTTAATTTTACGCAACGTTTGAGAAGAAAACAATAAAAAGGGGATCATTACCAAATATTATCATATAAATTGAATATGTACTGTTAACAGAGAAATGTTTGGAGATGTGAATGTTACAAACTTTTTGGCTCTTTATTCTTGTTGTATAGACTTTTTATGTTGTTTGTGTTTATAATATTTAATCAAAACGTTACTAATGTTATTAATTGTAATTAAATTTGTGTCATATATGATTAATTTTTGCTAGCAGCCACTCTAAACTAAGTATTTACGAGATCTCATATTCAAAAGAATTGAAACTGTCTTTACAAATTCGTGGATTTTGTAATTGTCAAACACTAAACTGTGTTATGTGTGTATGTTGTTAGTTTTTTTATGTGCTAGGTCGGAACATGAGCAGAAAAATTACCTGATGGTAAGCAATCTGCGCCACCCATGTGCACCTGCAGCCACTTTGCCAGCCTTTTGAATTTTAGACTTTTGGTATTAATTTAGAGAGAGGAACGATTTGGCCTCTGGTAACCTCACTCATATGGCAAACCACAAGGCAAAAAACATTTCTACATAAAAAAACCCTTCGGAGACAAAATAAACAATGCCAATTACGATACAAGAAAAAAATGTCTTCTTTGACGACTCCATGTATTTTTCTATGACACCCAACAGACGTAAGTTATGATTTGTGTGTGTGTGACGTCTAACGTTGTCACACGACTTCAGCGACGAGTCACATTGAGATGACTGAAGTCATTTATTATTGTTTACATTTCTCTCTTCGGGGGTAGGCAGTGTTTTTAATAACCGACTGGTATGTGATGTCAAGGGGTTGCTTGTAATTAGAAATTGGAATGAGTGGAATATTAATATTGTTTGTTTATTCTAAGACTTTGTTAATAAATTATTTTCTTTATTAAAACGTTGTTCATTTATTTTTATTGACTGCTAGTGATCAGCATCTCCTTAGTAGTGGTGTTCCACTAGGTACCTGGTTGAAATTCATTTGTTTTGTAAGGTATCAAAATTTCTGCTTTCTTCCAATTCCAAAAACACGCCCTACTTCTTTTTTCTTATAAGATTTTTTAACCAAACTCAGCTGTTCTCGGAATCCACAGGATTTCGGAAAAGGCTTTAGTAATTTCGATGAAAATTTTCCCTTTGCAGGGTTTTGGGAATGAAAACTTAATTAAGATAGGTTTCGTTTTCAGAACAACAAATACCTACCCATCATCAAGCAATCATCCATACGGAAGCTAAATGATATTCGACTAAAAGTTACAAAAAACTGGTGAACATACGGTGTAGTGTATTCCTCCTTATCCTTCGTTATGTAAAAAGCAAATTATAGACTACTGATGACCATCGAAGTAAATCTGATATTTTTATAAGTGTAAGGCGAGTAAACGGCGCCGCCAATGTGGCAGTCCATGGGCGGCGCCGCCACAATGGAGGAGTTACAAGTGCGTTTTGCCGACCTGTTGTGGATTAGAGGTTTGGAGATTTTGGAATTGGGGAGAATTTGAGAATGGTAAAAGGTTGGGCCTCCGGTAACATCACTCACACAGCGAAAAAGAAGTCTGTGGTTATTTGACGACGGTTTTCTGTGAGGCCGTGTGAAATAAAAAGCGAACAGTCATATAAGAATTTATTGATTAGATTCATTTCATTACAAAGTTACAAATAAAGAAAGAGCCATTAGAACAAAACTAAAGACCGTTCTCATTGCAGAGCCAGGAGCTGGCGCTGGAGTAGTGGAAGAATCCTCAGGATTAGGTGAAGGTTCATTGTTGACAATATTATAATAACCCATATTTCGGGTAACCTTCTCCATTTCTAGAAGACCAGCCATAATTTCTTCGTTATTAGGAATTATGCGTTCTGCAGGAAGAAGGAATCCATATTCACCATCATCACGAAGCTCGAAGAGATAAACGATGGGAATACCGGCCACTCCCTTCACCCAATCAAAACTGGAACCGCTAACTTCGTCTACAAAATAAAAAGTAATTTTAAGTACAAAAATTGAAATCAATTTAAAAAACTTGAAAAAACCGAAATCTTATTCATATTTCAAATTTGGCTGCTCCCATATTACAGTACTTACATAAAATATCGCCAGAGGTACCAACTTGGTAGTCCGTATTGTGTTTGGCCTTCAGTTTGTCCATACCTCGGATAGCAATCTCGTACTAAAAAAGATAGACAAGTTAGACCTAGAACTTATTTACGCTTTTCAATAAGTTGATATCTGTTTGATTTTAAGGTTAAGGGCTAATTCTAAACCTAACATTTAACTGTTTAAATTTTGTGCTCAACTTTCTTTCTTTAGTTAATAATAGGAATTGGAGTACCTATAGAAACAAAGTAATGCAACCAAAAATATCACCAAGTTTTTATCTACTTTTAGTTAGAAGATTAATTAAGAATAAATTAACATGACGAGGGAAAAATATCAAGAATCAATCAGGACAATAAAGAAGAAGATAATGATGAAAGTAAAATATCTTACCATGTCACCATAATTAGGAGTTTCAATGACATCGTATCCAGAAAGATGGCTGTAAGGCACCAAGACCATTTGAGAATAAGAATGGAAGGCAAAATAGTAGATCATACGGCCTTGTTCCTTTATGTGTAAAACATAGTTTGCTATGGCACGAGATTCAGGCTCCGAAAATTCAATCGGGCCAGCGTAGGTTTCTGCGCAGGGATTGGAGGAGGCACCGGTTGCTGTAATAGAAATGCGTTGTTAAAATGTAGTGGCAATCCCATCACCATCACGTTTACCATAACTGGTTTAATAGGCAAAAGTGCTTAAGGATAAAACCAAGTCAGGCCATGTTTGTAGGCTAGGTCATGTTACGAAATTCACTGGCATACATCATTTGATAGTTTTCAACTAGTCAAATTAAACACTTTTATTAAAATGACAAAAACGATATTTTTCAACGAATTTTGTGTGACATCGCAACATAAGAGGCCATAATGTTTATGTCAAACTGCATACTCATTTTTAAACTTTACCTCGTCAAAACAATTTTAATTGTATTCAAATTTTAATTGTACCTTATCTAGATGATTATAGAAAATTAAATATTTAGAGATCAGTGCCATAGAATAAGAGGTCAGAAATCATGACTTTATCAGAAGTGGTTGCAATTGGACAGTTTCCTATGAAAGATAACTTATTTTCACTTTTTAATAAAATTAAAACAAAAAACATTTTATTGTCATTTTTACAAACATTGTGGCTTACTTATGGTATGTCAATATTAAATAAATTCCTCTATTGATTACGTTATCTCGTTATTTGATAGTTGGATATACGTACTTTTGATTATAATATATTATAGTAGTAATAATATTTTGATAGCTATAGTTGACGTTGGGTAATTTTAAGTACCTAATCGAAAAAAAAAAATCAATTTTTAAATGAGATCATTAGTCGAGTTGTAGTGATTATAATTTTTCAAGGCCACTATATTAATATGCAAGATCTCAAAGAGCTGCTGACTGTTGTTTGCTTTCAACGGATAGCTCTGGAATATATGGATACATAGAGGACGTGTGAGGGAAACTTCTCTATTATTTGGAACCCCCAAGAAAAATTATACAGTGCTATGGTGGAAAAAATTCAGCGAAAATTTGCGAGGTACTTATACAAACGACAGTATGGGTATTATCCATTTCTATACCCTTCCTTATATGTATCGGGGATGGTTAGTATTGACACTTTACTACTCAGACGCTATCTATCAATGTTAATGCACTATTACTTCTTGCTTATAAATAAGATCGACAATGCACCCGTACGTGAATGCATTTATTTCTATGTCCCTGACAAATACATGCGTAGTGGCAGACGGCAACATAGACTACTGTCGTGTCCACCTAGTTGGCCTCTCCTCCAGATGCACAACAGCCCTACTGCTCGAGCCGTATCATTAATAAATAGCTTTCTACAGAATACTCCGGATGCAGACATATTTTTTGATGCTCCTTATGTCATAAAGAAAATGTTCTACCCTTTTCTGAATAGTTTTATGAAATAATTTATGATTTTTTGTCTTTGTTAATTGTATACATATATATTTTATTATTGCATTGTAATCTTAGCTATTTTTCTGTAAGCTTAGTATAGATATAAGCGTTTTGGTGTTACTGTAAGCTTGTATTCTTATGAATAAATGAATTTATTATTTATTGAATTTATTCTCCTGGCCTATTGGGTCTTTGAGACGCGGGTGGAACGCTAAGCGCCATACGCTCTGCTGTCTCTAATTATGGCTGACACAGCGATGATAAAATAATAATTTACTTACTCATCCATACAAATTCGAAGTTTCTATTCAAATCAATACCATTGCTAATATCATCTGATACTGAAGTACAAGTTTGGAAGTTTTCCTTGCTTCTATTTTTTCTCCACATTCTGTTCTGTAACCAATATATCAAAAATTTGGTATCAAATTATTAATAAGAATTTTCTAATTGGAATTATGTTTAAGACTTAAGACTACAGCCCAATGAACAGGGTGGAACTAAAACATCAAGTGGTTTCAAATTCATACAGTAAATAATAACCATACTTACATTGCTGAAGGTGTATTCGTATCCATCAGGGTTAACGACCGGGAAAATATGCCAAACAATATTTTCTGCCATGAACCGAACACTTTCATCAGTACTGGTCAAGAATTCGTTAATGATGTACGTCACTGTAGCAGGAGAAATCCATTCTCTCGCGTGAATACCACCTTCAATCATACCAATTACTGGATTTTCTTCTTTTTTGTAGTCAATTTTAACACCCCAGATAGTTCTGCCTTCAACAGATGTTCCAAGGTTTACAAGAGTAGCTACATCTGAATGCTCTTCTACGATTCTGGTCAGCCAGGCGTTGATTTCATCTAAGTTCAGGTAGTACGTCCAGTCGTAGACTACACTTCTGCTAACTGATCTTTTCATTTGATCCTCGATTACCCTAAAGGTAAACAAAAAAATAATAATTAAATTTAGACAGTAAAGTTCAAGAAGAATCTACCTGGAATATAATAACTGTGACCTCTTCATTAACCTCTTCTGTTATCGGACTTTTTCATCACTTTTACATTAAATTACTAATTTGATACTTACTTTTGGACATCATCAAAAACAACTTCAGCAGAAATATTGACATTTTTGAAGTAATTTTCAAAATCTTCTTGATTATTTGGTGCCACCATAATCTTCACATCACTTTGTAGACTTATAATATCATTCCAGAAGAAATATTCATTTTGTTTTCTTAAGTCCAGAAGTATTTGTACTTCATTTTCCGTCTTTGGAACTATTTTGTACACTTTATAATCCTTATACGAAACATATTCTGCATTTAGTGCAGCTACTAAAAATACTATAAATAATATTTCTTTTAAAACCATCGCGTATACCTCCTTCACGCGTCACCTGTATAATGAGTTGTGTAAATAATGTTTAAAATTATAATTAATGGTATCTTTATCTCTACTATTATACGCTTATTGATAAAATGTTTTATTATTTTACAATCGTTTTTGGGAGTTAGTCCATGCCAATAAATTTTTATGGCAGACCGCATATTCTTTTGAATTCATATTATTTTATCTTGATTTGATAATCCCTATCCTTCAAAGCCGTAGTCTTAATAATGTCATAGTATTATTGTTTCTATATTTGCTGATGGTTGTAAGTAAGTATTTTTATTTATAACATATTGACAATATATAATCATTTGCGTTAACACTTTCTGATTTGTGGCCTAAAAAAATAACGCTTGAGGTATTCAAAAGTAAATGGAGGTGCTAAAATTTTGTAACCAGTATTGCAGTTCTCTTTGTTTCAGTAAATTCTATTTTAAATGAACTTCTAACTAACAAGTTTATTTTTAAAGAAATTGAAATTCCTTTTAATATTAGTTGTGTAGTAAGCCGTAATTCGATTATTAAACCCTGATTAGATTGTATTAAACTTATCTGTTTGTTTACTAGATAATCATACATAGCCACGTGAGGTTATAAACGCGTACAATACGTACATTTAAATATATGTCATCATCATTATCAGCCGATAAGTGGCTACTGCTGATCAAAGCCTCTTCTCACACGGAAAATGTTTGAGCATTACTGACCACGCGACCAATTTGTATGAAAATACAGGAAAAAATCCTAGCGTAGAGTAAAACTTAAAAAAAAAAAATAGGAATTAGTAAGTCCATGCTTCCACGCGATGGTTTTCTTTACCGTATGTCAGTGGTTAAATTTTAAAGATCATAGAAAATACAAACTTGGGGAAAGTTACATTGGTACTTGCCAGATTTTAAACCCTCATGAGAAGCGGACGGACGCCTTGACCTCCGGGCTACCACGAAATTACATAAGATGTACTTTGTGTGATAAGGAAGATTTTTCTTAATCATTGTCACCATTGCTTTTTTATTTCTTTCAATTCATAAACTTGTTATGAATGTATGGGAACACAATTTTGTATGATTGTATTGTATGATTGAGCTGAAATTATGTATACACGTTCAGTTTACATCCCCAATATGACCGAATATGCTAAGCTGCTTTTGGCTGGCTAAAAAGGAGTCTTATGTTTTTAGGGTTAATGTATGTATGTAAATATTTTACTTTATTCCACTGCAACTTCCAAGCGCCTGGACAGAATTGGATATATTGTTGGAATCTTAAGCTAGGTTGTTTAATTGTTTGCCGTGGTTGTCGCACTGCAAGGCAAGACCCTACCCTTCTTCCACTCTTCTCTGCACAAAGCTCTTTGCGACCGATCCTTGTCGAAGACATCAAGACGTTTTGTAGGCTCCACTCAGTACAGATTTGCGTCCACCGCTCGTCTGACATGCGGCGCATGCGTTCCCAGTTCCAGGGTTTGCGGCTTATTAAAAAGTAAGTATAAGAAAAACTTTTGATTGGTTTAAATAAATAATATAATTATTTTATTTAACTTCACTCAGTGCATATCTGTAATAATTTATTGATGAAACAGTGTACAATAATCCTCCTAAATCGATCATCTCTATAAGTTTATTTTTTATTTTTTTCAGCCTATCAAAATAAATTACATTCACATTATCTTTTATAGTAAATATTTTATCTTTTTATTTTAACGACCACAATTGTATACAACTTCAATACTGTTTTTTTAATTTGATGTCAAATTATATATTTTACTAAAGCTAGGTTTAATAATAGCCCAGAGCTTTGGTATTCTTGTCCATTTCGACAAGACCATCCATTGTTTCCAAAGCAGTGGGAATGATTTGTTCTGCTGGTAGAAGGAACCCGTACTCTCCAAGGTCACGAAGCTCTATAAGGTATGATATAGGAACGTTGACTTCATGCTTCACCCAGTCAAAAGAACCCCCACTCATGGGGTCTGAAAGGAAAAAAAAAATAGAAATACGGTTTTCTAAATGAAGAGATGGCATTGAGAGATATAATATATTCAACAAAGTTTATCCGTAACGGTTGTCCAAATGAAACAAATGCTCTGATGTGATTGACTGCTAGGTAGCATGTCTCGGATTAAGTCGATTTATGCTCAAAATCATTATATAATACTAAGTTTTGCCTGCGGCTTCGCCCCCATAGTATGTTAATAAAAAGTAGCCTATTCCGGAGAGTATCCTATGCCTGTGCCGAATTTCATCCAGATCCATTCAGTCGTTTTGGCGTAATTGTGTAAGAAACATCCAAACATAGTAACTTTCGCATTTATAATATTAGTAAGATGTAGATGATCCACATTTATTTTCTGAATCTACGTTTAAAAAAACTTATCAATGTTAAAAAAGTTTTTTTAAGTAAAAATACTTACACATAACATTAGCAGATAATCCAACTCTGTATTGTGTTCCATAGCGTTTCGCCACAGCATCGGCACTTTTGATGGCAATTTCATACTGGAAGGAAAAGATGGGGTTATTTTAAGGACATAGAATGACTTACTATTTATATTATTAATCTTTGTTTCGATACATAATCATCATAATCGTGTGATTATTAGAAAATTAGAAAAAATCTTAATATATAAAAATGGATCGCAAAATGTGTAGGTAAGCGCATAACCCAACAACGCCTGGACCAATTTTGCTAATTATTTTTTTGTTGTGTTTATTATTGTCGGGAGAAGGTTTTAGGCTTATCAAAGAAAATATTGGAAAGTAGAGGGGAAGATTACGAAAAAGCGACCCTTTGATAGCGAGATAGTTGGACCCATGCGAAGCGGGGGCGGGCCGCTAGTTAACAATACAGATGAAATAATGTAATTTTATGAAAACTTGGTTATATCGAGTAACTTGGTTTATGATTGGAATAAATACGTACCATATCAGCGTAGTTCCTAGATTGCCAAGCATCTTCAATGTATACATGACTGTACGGAACTAGAATCAGTTGAGTGTACGAATGGAAGGCAATGTAGTATATAATTCTGCCTAGTTGATCGAGACGACGCACGTATCCAGCGATAGCCCTTGATTCAGGTTCGGAGAAAGGAAGAGGACCAGCATAGGTATTAGTGCACGAGTCGTTTGAAGCTCCTATAACTGAAAATTGTAAAGAAAAATCTTGTCAGTGCTTAGGTTACAAAGGAAATAATAATCATAGTACTAAACCATTGTGTTTGGAGCAAGGTATAACTTTAAGACTCCTAATAATTTGGACTGGATTTGGAGAAACTGCGTGTAGTAAATACAGATGTAAAGTACCAGAGAGCCTACAGGACTCAGATGAGATAAAATATTATTGAATCGTTGAGGATACTAAGTGAACCTTTGCCTTTTGCCTTTGCCTTTTACTTCATTAAAGACCCTTATTTATTAAATTGCAAATAAAAAATTTGAGTTTGAGTTTAATCAGCAAGAAAAGTAGCACTCTCGTATACAATCAAATCACTTCCACATCTGAATAAGAGAGGTTTGCCTTAATCTACATAATTATATTATAAGCTTTGTGGATGGGTTATAATCGTGGTTTCTGGTTAAGATTTTGGAAAGGGCGCTGCTGCCTTGAATGAATATAATGTGCAGTTTCTTCTTTCGTTCTAAAAATACCCCAAGAAAGAAAGAGTAAAGAACAATTCACCTCTACCATCACCTGGTACTGTATAGACATTACTGCCTAATTTTAACTTATAATACAAGCTCTCACCCATCCATTCAACGTCGAAGTTCCTATTGAGATCCACACCATGACTCATATCATCATCCACTCCTTCTGCACAGGTCTTCACATTTTCTGGACTGCGATTTTTCCTCCACATACGGTTCTGTAAGAGAGAGTTCATTTTTTTATGACATTTGGTTATGGCATTTAGGTTCTCTAACATCAAAAAATGGGTGACGAGTTTGAAAAAAAATATGACTATAGTTTAACTTAATCAATAATTCATTTGACATACATAATTATTATTTGCAGGCAAGTTACTGAGCACTCCAGTTTTTAAATTAAAGTGAATAATGACAATATTATAAAGTGTGCTTTAAGTGAAACTCAAAAAAGATAAAATGAGAATTCGAAAGGACACTCACATCAGTAAAAGTATAAACATATCCGTCTGGATTCACAACAGGGAAGATGTGCCATTCAAAACTTTCCGCCAAATACCTAATCTCAGGGTCTTCGCTCGTCAAAAATTCTTTAATAATCCAAGTAACGGTAGCCACAGATATCCATTCACGGGAATGCAAGGTACCTTCTAACATTCCAATGAGTGGGTGTGAATTTTCTTCGTCATCGCCATTATTATAGTTTATGACGATACCTTTTATATCTCTGCCTTCAACAGATTTACCCATGACTACTGTTCTAACTATATTAGGATGATGTTCTTCTAACTCATCAAGCCAATTGTAGAGAGTGTCGAGATCATGGTAACTTGTCCAGTCGTATGACAGATAGCTGGAGGAAGCGTTTATAGCGTCTGGATTACGTTGCTTGTCAATTGTTCTGGAAAAGTTAGAAAATAAATTTGAAAACTAATCATCCATCAAGGAATTTTAAAATAGTTGAATAATATCATATTCTTATTTAGCACCCATAATATTCCACTATTACTTCACGAATTAGTTCAAATTGACTAAATATTACACTTTATGTCCTTGCTAGTACTTACCTCTGTACATCATCAAGTAGCAGTGTTGCTTCAATATTTTCAGTCTTCAGGAACTTAATGAACTCCTCATGCTTCTGTGGTGATACCATGACCTTCGAATCTCTATCTACTCTGAAGCCATCTTCCCAAAACTCACCAATCCTAGCCTCTTGTAGCTTAGCTAATATTTTCATTTCACTTTCATCTCTGGGTGATATTTTATACAACTTATACCCATTGTAAGAAACTTTCACAGCACAAGCAAATGTTAAAATTGTTAAAATAAATATAAAATTAATGTAATTCATTTTGGTCTTAAGACACGAACTAATCGCGATTGCCTAAATTCTGATGATAAATTTCTATAGGACTGATAATAACCCAATAATCTGATAATAAATGAGACGATTTATCATCGTGAAATAATAAATTTCGAACGTGTCGTTACGAAATGATTTAGTTTGTAATTAGAAGACTTGATAGCGATCTTGCAATGATTTGGTTTTAGATAAGCGTATTCATTATCTTTTTGTTAGCAATTTAAATATTTTTGATTTTGCATAGGTAATTAAATATTGTATAAAACCTAAATATGTTATACATAAACTGATAGTTAAATTCTTCACGTCTCAAGGACCTGGAGATAGGTTTGATCCTATGACAAATGGTTCTTATATTTTATGTGCATATTATAGTATTATTTATGCATATCTACAAATCCCGTTTAAACCAAGTGCATACTTTTAAAATAGTATTTTTTTTTCGTACAACCTGTTCTTGGCTCCTGTTTTCTTTCACAATTCTGTCTGTACCTAATTGACAAGATTATAATTATTTATCAAATTAATTTGGAACACAATATTAAATTTTCGCATTTCGTGAATTTTATCTCTCAGAAAAATGATTAGGACGAAATAAATAATCCTTCATAAAGGAATTTCGAATTTAATGTTATAAAGTATAAACTATAAAATCGTATAAACAAAATAAAATACAAGATTGTTCGACAACAGTCCGGAGTAAGTTTTGCAAAGTTTTCTTTGCTGTCAATTTAGTCTGCGTTTCATTGAGTTAAAGAGGGTTTTGCTTTGGCGTAGTTGCTTATATTGTTGCACATTTCCCCTTTAGTTGGTGTAACTGTCTTGCAGTACAATTGCTTGTGGACTGCGGTACATCTGTAGTTCTTTGTAGGAACTTATGCACAATGAAAATTACTTCAGTGTTTCTTTCCCCTACTTACTTACTACATATTTCAAAACGTTTTATTTTAGTAGTATAAAAAAAAGATTTATATACTAAATGAAATTGGATTACTCTATTTCGTAGTTTGCCAGTAATAATAATCGATAAAAGATATTAAATGTTAAAAGTATTAAAAACGGCAAGATGAAAGATAATATGAATGATATGAAAAGGTTACGATCACAATATACTGCGGTCTCAGACTGGACCAGTAAGAGTCTGTCAATCCCTGTTGCCTCAGACAGGACTGGAAAAAAACATTTGAGGACCTTCTCTCTTGAAAAAAACCTTTACCTGTAATACTCCAACACCCTATCAAAATACGCCAAGCAAAAACCTTCCTTAATCACTCTACAAAAACACGCAATTAAGAAAAAAACATACAAGACACGCATTACAAAAAAATTGAAAATTTAAAACAGAATTCCATTTTCCATTCTATAAAGAGCCTTACGCACTTGCCGCAGCCCGCTCCTTGGGTGGGTCAGAGCGGTACAATTATATTTATCGCCGCGTACCGCCGTGTCCTCAGTCCACGCATAAATCAGCTCACGTACGATGTCGAAGTGACGTGTCGTCGATCGCTGCGACTAAAATTGCAATGGGAACGATCCTTTACATTCGCTATTTATCTTTTGTAATATTGTATGCATGGTAAAATGTCGTTCTCGATATTGCTTATCTGAAAGACTTTTGCGATGATGTTGAGTCTTTTCGATGATTAATTGTCGATTTGCTGATACAATATGTTTTGTTATTTGGTTATTTTAGTCGATTAGTGATTTGAATTTTAAACTTATGAATTGAGATTTATTAGATTGAACAAGACCAAGTGATTTTTCTTTCTTTTTTAAAAAACGTTGCCACTCAACAACAGTTTGTGGATCAAAGAGCCATGGAGGTATCGTACCCGCGTCACGTCGTGCGGTTGCTAATTGCCGACCCATCGCGATTACCCGATGGTAAGCAACCGGCGCCACCCATGGACACTCCTAAGACCTGAAAAGTTACGAGTGCGTTGCCATTACTTTCAGATAATCCGTCAGCACGTTTGCAGTCCTATCACATAAAAAAATATAAAAGAGTTTAAGAATATTTTAATTCAGTTTAAATTCTTCGGTAGTCAATCAAGGTCAAGTTGTGTATAAGTCAATTGCAATTAGTCATAATTTTAGTAAGATTAAGTAGTATAGGTATAGGTCGTCCACTGTTTAGTGATCCTTGATTGGTTGGCTTACTATAAATGCATTTAGAACTGACTAGCTACTATCGCGCGGTTTCACTCGCTGATCGGCCCCATTTAATCGTATCGTGATGTTTTATAGTCTATAGCACTATCAGTGAAAGAATTTTGGATATCCGACCAGCGGTTCTAAAGATTACCCCCTACATACAAGCTTACAAATTTTACCTCTTTATAATATTAGTATAGACAAGCGTTCCGCTTCGGCTTCGCACGGGTGAAATGCTAATACAAAATTTCTCCACTATTTAATGGATGATATTATACATATAAAACTTTTGTCTTCAATGACCCCACCTATTACAAAAAAACCGCATCAAAATCCGTTGCGTAGTTTTAATGATTTGAGCATGCATAGGGATATAGGGACAGAGCAAGCGACTTTGTTTTATACCACGCAGTGATTATTATAAAACAAGAGGCACAACACATACATTTTATCGCAATATCTACCAAAAACGGGTCAAAATACAATAATTTTCAATGTGTATCTGAACATTTATGAGTCTCCCTTAAAGGGCTAGGCAGGAACAAAATAATTTACGATCAGCCCAGTACCGCTTAATCAGTGGTTGGTTCATTGTTAACTCGCTCAGCGCGGAATAATGGCGCTATTGTCTCTTAGTATCGCGATAAGTTTGTGGTTTAAGTTGAAAACTTTGTATTTTCTTCAATTTTGTATAACTTTCTTGGATATCATATGATATGACAGAATGCTGTTAGGGTTTTGTTATTTTTTATGCGAATAACTCGGTAGTAAGAGAAGGGTTTGGAAGATTTAGGGACTGGATGAGGGGAAGGATTGGGCCTCCGGTAACGTTGTGGTTGTTTCACGCCGGTTTTCTGTGAGGCCGTGATATTAGTCCGCAAGCCGACCCACGGCTCTCCCACACACTTACATCTTGGACCCAGAACAACAATTTGTAGATAACAAAGAGTTGTAACGGCAGCTGGTTGTCCACCCACCGCGTCATCCATGCAATTCTTGAAAATCGTCATTTCTTTAATCCATCTCTTATACATTAAGCCACACGATTTCCTTTATCAAAGCCTTCTGTATCGAGCTTGTTCGAGTCGCATACGATGCTCTCAAATTGATTTTAAACTGATAGTGTTGTAATGTCCGATTCGATGCAACCGATATGTTTAAGACTTAATTAATTTGTTTCAGAAAATATTAGCTTCCATTATTTATGCTGGTATTGATATATTACTGTATAGATCGAATATAAATCGGTAATATTGTGAGACCTAGGAGATCATTCAGTGAATAAAATATTGATAAGATCTTAATAAATGGACAGACGGCGTGAAACCAATCAATACAGAATTTTCTTTTTCTATAAATCCTAAATCCCCTAAATCTAAGAAACTTTGTACACCAAAAAGCAAAAAAACTTTGTAAGCAACGCACACGTTACCAATTGTAAGTTTAATGTTTACAATTAATCACTATATGAATTATACAGAACAAATGTTTCTAAATTCTGTAGATTTAATGACTACAAACATACTTCATGTTTCATTACAATTTTAAAATCTAACTTCTAGAAACATGTTTTCTTATGCTAGTATTGTTTGTATAAAATTATTGTCAAATAAAAACTTAAAGAGTAAAAATACTCTTGTCTCAAATAAGATCACGCTCAAAAAGTACCATTCGTGCCCTTTTCAGCAAAAGTAACGGCAAATGTTCAAAAGCCAACCTCGTAACCAGGTACTGACAATAATTTAACGACTTACTTTTCTCATTTCACGCCGAAATGTTAAATTAATTGTCACCCAAATAGCTTGGAGGTAGACTCAAATACATTTCGCATTTTCCTCACTGAAAACCTTTTCAAAAACTCCTGAAACGATGTTCAGGACCTCGAAAGCCTATAATTACAAACGTGGCAAAAATAATTTCGCTAAAGTGTAAAAAATTGTGTCGTTAAAAATGATAGCTGAAGAAAATGTAGGGAAATGTGACGTCATAGTGGAAAATGTATCTGGAAAATACCTAGTTACTTCATCCTATTTACATTCATTATATTCTTAATCTTTCGTCCTTTTAAGCTTGGCTCGTTCATAGTTTTTATATCCTTGTATAATTAAAAATTCTATTCAGCTCAGCTTGTTTTTCCCCTACCAGTATTATTTCGAAACTAGATTTTAAAAGTTCAACAGAAATAATGATATCGTGTGAAAATAAAAAATCTATTTATTCAGATAGTTAGAAAAAAATAACGAATAGACCAATTAAAAGAAATAAGTTATTTTAAGTAGTTCTATCATAGCGATCACTACAGTCACACACACACACACACACAAACATCACCTGCCTATGCTAAATAAAGTTTGAGCATTTGTCACAACACTTGCTTAAGGCCGATTGGTGATTTCAAACGAATAGTTAGAAATTTCCTCATGAAGTCCAAGTTTCCTCATGATTCATCATGATTATGCATTCATCGTTTCTCAGTGATGTCAAAAAAATCACAATAAGTACATCGGAAACAGTAAGTAGTAGTTTAAGTGTGGGAGAGCCATGCTTCGGCACGAATGGGTCGGCTCGACCGGAGTGATACCACGGCCTCACAGAAAACCGGCGTGAAATAACCACAGCGTTGTGTTTCACCGTGTGAGTGAGGTTGCCCGAGCGTACGGCGCGTAGCGTTCCGCGCGCGCCTCAAAGAGCCATTAGACCACCACAGATGGGGCCCTAAAGGGCTGATGTTCAGCCGGGGTTGCGGGTAAGCGCAATGAGGCACCGCGACCTCGGCACAGAGCAGGAGAAGGAACAGGGGGGTTTTTAGTCAGTAAGAGTCTGACACTCCCTCCTGCCCGGCCCTGGGCGGGAGAAGTCATTTGATGATTTTCCCCTCACAAAAAAAAAAAAAAAACCGTGTGAGTGAGGTTA